TCAATTCTAGTTAAGTCTCTAATCTTTCAGCTGTCAATCTCAGCATTTCAGCCTATCAATTGACTGTCATGATCTTGCTTGCACTAATCATCTATTAAGGGCATCTAGGTCTCATCTCATCTAGATTCTTGCTAGGCCAGGGTGTTCTAATTGAATAGTTTTTAAATCTCATTCCCTGAAAGTGAGTGTCTAGAGTGAGAGGGATGAGACCTGACCAGTTAAGCTTGATGATGATTTACTATCCTGCGGGCACTCTAGACCTCAATCACTCTAGTACTGATCTAACTTGAAGCACCCGGGGGGCTGTTAACTCTAAGATCAGTGAGAATTAGCACCTGGAAACCCTCAGGATGAATATCTTAAGCTTGATAATGATTTACTATAGTGCACCTGGGGGCCCCCGGTACTGTTTTATGACTTAACAGTGAAAGCTGTGGTTAGGATGGCCCTGGTAGGGTTCGAACCTGCCCCCTCTTGGCATTCATTCCCCGGGGGGAAGGCCGCTAATTGGGGCTTCATGGTAGCGTAGTTAACCACTACGCCACCGGGCCATAAGAACCTCATATTTAATTGATTTAAATCATACTTCTTCTTCAATCTGGCTCTGAGACTATTGTATAATGCATAATCTATTATAATATACTCAGAATTTTCATTTGCATTGCAGAATGAGCATTCTGTTGAATCAAATCTATCATCAAATCTTTGTATATACAATTTGAAATAATCATATTCTAGTTTCAGCTGAATTATAGATGAGAATATTTTCTTTTTATATTTAATTGAACAAGATTTTCACTTAGATTTTATCTCAAATCTTGAATAATGTATACTCTTCTTTTGTTTCTACCAGCTTTTATTTCACTTATTTAAACAAGATTCTTTTATCTTTCTCTTTATAAAAGATCAGGACACTGGTTTTTGAATAGATCTGCTTAATTCTGAATCTCTTTTTACTGCTGAATCAGTCAATTCATTGTCATGAATGTTCATATGAGCAGAAACTCAGTGCAGATAAATTATCAGTTTTAATAATCTTCTCTTTTGAATCTTCATAACAGAATTTATAATCAGTTCAAGATTCATTTGATTATTATGAATCTGACTATTTTTAAGTCTTTTCAAAGCAGCTTGACTATCAGAGAATATTCATTCCTCTTTCAAGTTATTTCCTCTTTTATAAGATTTTATCTCAATAAGTTTGAAAGCTTTTACTATACTGACTTCTTTAATTAAGAGCCAGTATCTAGCTATTTTATATAGACAATGAGCAGATACTCTTCTTCTATTCTACAACTGAGAATAGCTGGAGCGATATCTCAGCAGCATCTCACTATCATGAAAGAGTAATCTGCTGACCTTGTATAGAAGCAGAGTTCTTATATTCATTAATCAGATCTTTCTATAATATATCTGAATGATATTATAGAGTGGTTGGAAACCGGTTTGAACAGCCTGTGAGATGAATGGAATCATCCGCAGGGAAGCAATGGGCCGTGTGGAACCGCAACGGGGCCTTGACGCGGCCGGGGGCGTGACAGATAGTTGACATTGTAGTAGTCTCAGACTAATTTAATATACAAGTTTTGTTCCTTCTCTATTCAATCTTGAGAAGTGTACATGTTAACTCAATGAGAGAAATTTAGTAGAGCTACTATAGCATAGTACTCTGTAAAAGATTGTTCAGCTTTACTATAGTAATATATCAGTTTATTTCTTACAGTAATAATAGCCTGCACTATAGTATTATCTCAGACTGAATTTCTTTTTAAGTGATTTAACTGCTTCTCAAGATAAGTAAATAAACTGTTATACACTTATCACACTGACTGCAGTATTGATGTATAAGTAATTGAAACTATCTTAGTTATCTTATAAAACTGAAACAGTAAATTAATCATATATTTCAATTGAGTTCACTTCATATCAAAAAGTTTTAATATCTGAATCTTTTTCTAAACAGAGTGTTTCACTTAATAATCAATCATCTGATATAATCAAAGAGTCTGAATAGTTATCTTATATATCAAACTTCACTGTGTTCTAATATTCTGTATTATATTCAGTGATATAACTGATTTGTTTATTTATTAAATATCATGAAATTATTATTATTATTTTGAGAAAGTACAAATTGTATTAACAATGTTTCAAATCTGTGATATTTAAATTATTAGTCAATCTATTCAAAATTAATAGTAGTATTACTAAAAAGCATTATTAAAAAGTAATATTAAAAAGTGTTATTAGAAAAACATTATCTTTTATAAAGTGAGTATAAAAGTTACTTAAGTAATTACTTTCATCTCATTCTCATCTCAAGAATCAGTCATCTCATTATTCTTCATCTCAATGTTAAGATTCTTTATCAGTGTTTGTATCATAAGTTAAATCACATGAGCAATGCAGAGAATATGACCTTGTTTATTATTTTAAAAATGCAAAGTCAATTTTTATTTCAAGCTCTTCATCATAGTGTAGTTATTCACAGCATTGTCAGTTATTATTATTATTATTATTATTATTATTATTATTATTATTATTCTTCAACTATAGATGTATACAGTCAGAGACTATGATATTTATCTGAGAACTTTTAGTTCTCACAGTTTTTCTAATATCTATAGAGTTAACTATTATACATTTATCAATTTCAGATATATAAAATCAGAAAATTCCAGCTCAGAATATAAAAACTCTTTATAAATTACAGTATTTTAACATCTTTTAATACTTTGAAATCATTTGAAAATATCATGATAAAGAAAAAGAGAATAAAGTCTTAAAGATAGACACATTAAATAAGTGGACAGAAAAGAACAGAAAAGAAAAAATAAAGTAAAGAGAGATTATAATAAAACAATCTACAGAATAAGATCTCTGCAGTCTACATCTTAAGCTATATATATATTTTAACACTCTATATAACTTATCACTGTCTCTGTTCTCTCAGACCTGCTTCAGAAATTATCATTCTCTCTAAAGAGTCACTGCTCAGCTAGCTTCTGTAACTAGCTTATTCATAAGTGAGATTCTCACTAAGAATAACATCAGAGTTACTTAATTCTAGTCAAGTCTCTAATCTTTCAGCTGTTAATCTCAGTATTTCAGTCTATTAATTAATCATCACAGTCTTACTTATACTAAGCATCTATTAAGAATGCCTAGATCTTATCTCATCTAGATTCTTGCTAGATCTGAGATGTTCTAATTGAATAGTTTTTAAATGTTAATTTTCTCAGAAGTGAGTGTTTAGAGTGAGAGATATGAGATCTAATCAGTTAAGCTTGACAATAATTCACTATTCTGTAAGCATTCTAAATCTTAATCACTCTAGTACTGATCTAACTTACAGTGTCTGAGAGACTGTTAACTCTAAGATTAGTGAGAATTAGTGTCTAGAAATCTCTGAAATGAATATCTTAAGCTTGATAATACTTCACTATACTGCATTCAGGGGTCTCTGATACTGTTTTATGACTTAACAGTGAAAGCTGTGATTAAGATGACTCTCACAGAGTTCAAACCTGCCCCCTCTTAGCATGCATTCCCCGGGGGGAAGGCCGCTAATTGAGGCTTCATAGTAGCGTAACGTAATCAACCACCCAACGCCCGCTTACACCCAACGCCCGCCATTTCGCCATCAGGATAATGAAATATTTTCAAAAATATCTCAACAACGCAATTAGATTTTAAGGTGATATATTATATAATGAAAATATATATAGAAAATTACATATAAAAATATACAGTTAATTCTGTAGATGTTTATTGAGCTTAATAACTCATCTGAAATGTGAAATCTTGAATGAACACAGATTCAGTGAGTAAGTAGTCATTAAATCAGTAAAGATTGTAATATTATCAGATTTCTCTAACAGTGAATCTGTGCACTCTGACAGAGCTCTGAAAACATATTTTAATCACTCTTTATGAAATCAAGAGTCTACTTTTCTGATTAGAACAATGATTTTTGAATTCTTTAATCTTTTTCTTATTCAACTGTGATTGCTGCTGTACAACAGCTTGTTCTTTCTTCTCTTTTTACTCTTAAGTCTTTCTTATATCTCAAAGCTTCTTTTTAATCTGTCATTGAGCAGTTCTTGCAGCCTTATTCATGGCTTTTTACTGCTTTGCTGTCTGATAAGCTGTCTTCTGCTTTATTCTCTTCTTCATGATATCTGTCTTCTTCTATTTCTTAAGAATAGTATGTTATAACTTGACATTCTTCTTACAAGTCTACTCATTCTTTTTGACAGCTTCAGAAGTTGTCATTTTCTCACATATAATCTATATCTTTACTGATGAAAAGAACTATATCAATGATGAATTTGAAGAATCTAGTAATTTTATTACTCTGTCACACTTGTAACATCTTCTCTCTTGATTAAGAGCTCACTGTAACTGTCTGTTCTCTATTAGAAGAATCTCTTTATCAAGAGCAAGATTTTCTCTCACATAGATCACTTAGTTAAGATCACTAGATATTCAATACTATTACTGCTTGACTTACTTCATCAATTTCTGTATATTAATAATAGAAGTAGAGATTCTTGATTAATATTGTGTATCTGAGAGAGTGTAAGACTGTATTACAAGCTTTTTAAGAACTTGATCTGAATTAAATGAATGTAGATCAGTAGTAGTGAATGTGAATATAATATTTAAAGATATAACTATCTTCTTTCATACAGTATTAAATAGCTGTCAAAAAGATCTCTTTATAGTGTATATTAGACTGACCGTGTGACCGTGTCTGAGATCAGAATCAAACTTTACAGTGATTACATTGCCTAAAAGTATTACTTCTGATCATGATTTGTGTTCATCACATTGATTTCAAATCATGTTATTTCAAATATTAAAGGTCTCAGATTCACTTTTCAAATAAAAATCTAGTCTCAGATAAAGAATATGTTTGAATTCTTAGTCACATTTTCATTCTGATCTCATTATTGAGAATGATATTAAATGAGATTATAAAATCACTTCTCACTTACATAATATTATAACATAGTGCTCATTTGTTAAAAATTCAACAGAGAGTGTTACTAAATATTATTACTTTTCTGAATATAAATTATAATTTATATAATTTTAATTATAAAAAAAATATAAAATATAAAAAAAAAAACAAAAAATAAAAAATAAAACAAAAACAAGAAAAAATCACAATAAAAAAAAAGAAAAGAAAAGAAAAAAAAAAGAAAAAAACAAAAAATAAAAATAAAAAAAAATCAAGATCACAGAGCTGTAGTACTTTTAAAATACTCACTCTTCAGAGTCTTTATAATATTTATTATCAACTGTGTATTTCTTACAGTGAGAATAACACAGCTGTAATGAGTTATTATCTTAATATTATCTAATAAATAATCACTATATATCTGTATAAATGTGAATATTTAGAAAATATACACTTAAAAAGTGTGATCAGAATGAACTCTGCTATCACTTGAATAATATTAAGAGTAGAATACTGAAATTGATAATTTCTCTTATTGATTTCATAGATAAGATAAGTAAAGATGATCTTGAGAAATATAAGATTTTCTAACTTCTGATAAAAACAGATCTCATGAAGAGACTCTATTTTCATGATATCAGAGACTGAGTGTTATTAAAAAGCATTACTTCTATGCAATGTATATGCACTTACTGTAATGATTCACTCTCTATGTATATGACTGAGAGTTGCAGCTTTCTCATGCTGTATGACTCTCTCTGAGATGCTGTCACTGGTTTGCAACTCACACAGTCTCTCAGTTCAGCATGCACTGTGTGTATGCAGCTCTGCATACTGAGGCTGTGTTGATCATTATAGCCTAATGTAATACTCACTTTTCACTGACTATGTTTCATTTGAGAAGAGAAGAGAAAGACATGACTGTTGTTTTATTAAGAGAGAATGAATAATTAGTAATATTGAATATAATTTGATTCTTCTATATTTAAAATTTGATTAGTCTATACTCTTCAATTTGAGAATTTCTAAGAGTGTTTTAATAGGTTTTATATCAGCTTAAACTTAGTGATTATTATTATTATTCTTCAATTATAGATGTATGCAGTCAGAGACTATAACATCTACCTGAGAACTTTTAGTTCTCAGGGTTTTTCCTATATCTGTAAAGTTAACTATTATACATTCACCAATTTCAGATATGCAAAATCAGAAAATTCCAGCCCAGAATACAAAAACTGTTTACAAATTGCAGTATTTTAACATCTTCTGATACTTTGAAATCATTTGACAATATCATGACAAAAGAAAAGAGAACACAGTCTTAAAGATAGACATATCAAATAGATAGATAGAAAGGAATTGAAAGGAAAAGATAAAGTAAAGAGAGACTGTAATAAAACAAATCATTAAAAGATAGTATATAGCTGTTTTAACAGACTATATCTGATTGATTTCCTTCTCTTCATATTCAGATATTTCTGAATTTACTCATTTTCTTGTAGCTGCTTGAGTTTCTGATAGAAAGTCTATTAAGTATTTAATTCCTGTCTCAGTTGAGAATAAGAATCTCATATTTAATTGATTTAGATCATACTTCTCTTTCAATCTGACTCTGAGACTATTGTATAATGCACAGTGCATTACAATATGCTCAGAATTCTCATTTGCATGGCGGAATGAGCATTCTATTGAATCAAATCTATCATCAAATCTTTGTATATAAGATTTGAAATAGCCATGTTCTAGTTTCAGCTGTATTATAGATGAGAATATTTTCTTTTTACATTTAATTAAACAAGATTTCCACTTGAGTTTTGTTTCAAATCTTGAATAATGTATACTCTTCTTTTGTTTCTGCCAGCTTTTATTCCACTTGTCTAAACAAGATTTTTTTATTTTTCTCCTTATAAAAGACCAGGACATAATTTTTTGAATAGATCTGCTTAATTCTGAACCCTTTTGTGCAGCTGAATTAGCCAATTCATTGCCATGAATATTCATACGAGCAGGAACCCAGTGCAGATGAATTATCAGTTTTGATTTAAACTTAGTGATGAATTGATGAAGAAGAGAAAAGAGAGAAGAAAGAAATGAGAATACTTATCTTTATAATATAAAAACAGAGAATCACTGCAATCATTCTTTCTAGTAATAAACATCTGTTTTCTGCATGTATTTCTGATATAGATTATATGATAACTGTATACAAAGAATATTAACAGTGTATATATTGAATGAAGATGATATTGTTATATAATACTGTAGCTGTTTCTATACATCTCTGAAAGCTGTTAATATTTTCTTTAAGTCTCTTTATATTTAATAAGTTAGTAATATATTTCAATGCACTTCTTCTTTCATCATCCTCATCATTATTATTATTATTATTATTATTATCATCATCATCATTACTATCATCATTATTATTACTATTATCATCATCATTATTATCATTATTATTATTATTATTACTATTATTATATTATTTCTGACTGTCTCCTCAGTCTTCATCTCTCTTCAATACTCACTGAAATTAATCATATCAGCTCTCTTCAAATATTCTGCGGTCCTGCAGATCATCAAGACACATGAGTGCTGTCACAGATTGAAGAAAGAGAAGAAGAAGACATTTAAGTGAGAAGAGACAGATTGTAAGACATGTTATAATATCTTGAAGAGACTCTGTAAAAGAGTAGAATGATAATAATTTTAAGTAATACTTCTGATAGATTTAGACTGAACTAAGTATAGAAATAATACAGATAACACTGTCTGTGAGAGATTAAAAAAGAAGACAGTGAAGAGTCTCATGCAGTAGTAGTAAGATCAGAAGAAGTTCTAAGAATGATTTGAGATCAAGATAAAGAGAGAAAGAGAGAAGAAGAGTATTACTATAAATAAGTAGTGATAGAAGAAGATTAAGAAGATGTTAAAGCAGAAGATAAAGAAGTCAAAACTGATAAGTTTTTTATTTATTGAGAGATAACAATTTCTGATAACACTTCTATTCTCTAATTAATTAGCAGAAGCTGACAGAGAAGAAGGGAATTGAGGTCTTATTCAGGTCTCAAATATGCTTCATAATTCAGAATATTGAGAACACAGCTCTGCTCTCTGAGCATGTCAATCTACTTACTGCTGAGATGAAACCTGAGACAGTAAATCAGAAAATGCAGGATTTTGAGATGCAGGTTGACCTGGCTGAGAGAGAGCAGTGAGAACTCTTCTCTGAGAAGATAGTGAAGAGAGATTTTAAGATAATTATTATCTCAGATGAGAAGAAGAAGAAGAAGAATAAGAATAAAAAGTGAATTATAAAGAATGATAAGAAGAATGAGAAAGAGAAGAAAGATAATAAATAGAAAAAGTTTTTTTCTTTTTATATTAGTTAGTTATAAGTTCATAATTATTAATAATTAAAATTGATTTTAAGTTTTCAAAAATTATTGTACAAGTTGTAATCAATGTCAGGATATATATATATATATATTT